GCAAACGTCAAGCCGCCTGCTATCGCTGTATCTATCGATGATTTCTGTGTTGTTTACTAGGATTTCTCTGGCGATGGTTTGGTTATGGGAAGAGATTATATGTTCCTTAATGGAGCCCTGTTGTTTATGCATCGTTAAACGCCTAGAAAGAGATGTTGTTGTCTTGCCTATATACTGGGTTTTTTGGAGCTTACAGTCCCCAAGTGGGCATTTGAAGGCATAGACGAGGTTAGTCTCTTTTAAAGCGTTCTGTTTCGTGTCTGGAGAGTTTCTCATGAGTAGGCTGGCCGTTTTTCTGGTTTTATAGTAAATCGTCAGTTGTATCCTCTGATTTTTGTCTGTAGGGATAACGTTTCTATTAACAATATCTTTCAGGACCCTTTCCTCTGTTTTATGAGCTGTGGAAAAGAAGTTCCTGTAAAATAGTCTAATAGGGGGTATAGGTGTTGTGTTAGTTGTCTCTTCGGAGGTTGCATGGCTTTTCACTTTCCTTCTTATGATGTCTTCGATGAAACCATTGGAGAAGCCGTTATTGACTAGAACCTGCCTTACCCTACAGAGTTCTTCGTCGACTTGCTTCCATTCTGAGCTGTGGCTGAGAGCACGGTCGACGTATGCGTTAACAACACTCCTCTTGTACCTGTCAGGGCAGTCGCTGTTGGCATTTAGGCACATTCCTATGTTTGTTTCCTTTGTGTAGACTGCAGTGTGGAAACCTCCGCCCTTTTCCATGACTGTTACATCTAGAAAAGGCAGCTTCCCATCCTTTTCCGTCTCGTAAGTGAAACGCAGCACGGAACTCTGCTCAAATGCCTCCTTCAGCTCCTGCAGATGTCTGACATCAGGTACCTGTGTAAAAATGTCGTCAACATACCTGCAGTATATGGCCGGTTTCAAGTTCATGTCGACTAAGACTTTTTGCTCGATGGTACCCATGTAGAAGTTTGCAAACAGGACACCTAGGGGAGAACCCATGGCGACCCCATCTACTTGCTTATACATGTGCCCATCCGGGCTCAAGAAGGGTGCCTCTTTAGTACAAGCTTGGAGTAGTTTCCTCAGAATACTTTCTGGCATGTCAAGAGGAGTACAGGCTGGATCACGATACACTCTGTCGGCTATCATTCCGATTGTCTCGTCCACAGGTACGTTGGTAAACAGCGATTCTACGTCCAACGAGGCTCTTATCCCTGTGGCCCGTGCGCCCCGCAGTAAGTCCACAAATTCCTTTGGAGACTTCAGGCTGAAGGCGCAAGGAACATAAGGAGTCAGCAGGCCGTTGAGTCGCTTCGCCAATCTGTACGTGGGTGTGGGTATCTGGCTAATGATTGGCCGAAGTGGGTTTCCAGGCTTGTGCGTCTTGACATTTCCATACGCATATCCAGGTTTATATTCCCCAATGATCTTTGGCAGGTGGAGTCCGGATTTCTTGGCGTTCACAGTTTCGATCAGTTTGTTGACCTTTGCTTTTAATTCGGCTGTAGTGTCCTTCGTTACCCTTTGGAACTTAGTTTGGTCAGAGAGTATGATGTTCATTTTCGCCAGATATTCGTCTTTTTTAAGAATGACATATATTGGCGACTTGTCACCTCTCCTGACAACTATCTCCTTGTTCTCACGAAGGCTTTTAGCTGCCGCTCTAAGCTCGGGGGACAGTATGGTGCTTCTGTAGTTGCCTCGATTCTTTCCTCCTTCTGCAATAAGTTCTGCTTGTAAGGTATCTTTGGTAGTGACCTTCTTTTGTGTCTCGAGGTCGAATATGTCGTCCAACAGAATTTCCAACTCCACTTTCCGGGCCATTTCACTCGGTCTGGACATAACATGACAGTTTATGCCCAGATTTAGGAGAGTGACTTGGTCCTCAGTGAGGTTAATTCCTGCAAGGTTCAGGAAGCCATCTCTTGGTCGTGGAATTGCCATAGGTCCTCCATATAATGTTGTTAGTTTCTTGATAATCCTTGTTTCAGTGCTGAGGTGATGTTGGTGATGTATAAAATCAGGGAAACGCAAGTTCTAATCAGTTGTGTATTTGTGAAGTCTTTGAAAATGTAATAAGTTTTACGAAACGCGCCCGTGTCGCGTCAGACTAGAAATAAAAATGAATTTTGGAGAATTGTTTTTTGATTTACCTCCAGCAGTGAAGCATAATGTACGAAAGATTGAGAAAATTCGTGTTAGAATTATTAATCTTACTTTTTCGGTCATATTTAATAATATATATATATATATATATATATATATATATATATATATATATATATATATATATATATATAATATGTGGTGTATACCTCTAATGCTAGGCACATATATCTTAAGACATACTCGCACACATATTTGCACTTTTGTATACATACACACATGCATGTATCTGTATAAGCGGGTTTGTACATGTAGATCTATGAGAACATGTTGTTGTGTGTGTGTGAGACTAAGGCATGTGCTGGGGGCTCTCCTTACAGGATAGTGTGCGAGCAGGTCTCTCACCACCCGCCCGTCTCCTCCTTCTACGCTGACTCTGAGCACTGGAACTTCCACGGGTCCATCCACCCCAAGCTCAAGTTCTGGGGCAAGAGTGTGGAGATCCAGCCCAAGGGTGTTCTCACCGTCGAGCTGCCCAAGTGAGTTATCCTGAAGGGTAGGTGTGTTGGGTGTGTGTGTGGGGGGGGGGGGTGTGTGTGGGGGGGAGGTGGCAGGTGTGGTGGGTGTGTGTGTGTGGGGGGGGTGTGTGGGGGGGGAGGTGGCAGGTGTGGTGGGTGTGTGTGTGTGGGGGGGGGGAGGTGGCAGGTGTGGTGGGTGTGTGTGGGGGGGGAGGTGGCAGGTGTGTTGGGTGTGTGTGTGTGGGGGGGGGAGGTGGCAGGTGTGTTGGGTGTGTGTGTGTGGGGGTGGGGGGGTGGGTGTGTGTGTGGGGGGGAGGTGGCAGGTGTGTTGGGTGTGTGTGGTGGGGGAGGTGGCAGGTGTGTTGGGTGTGTGTGGTGGGGGAGGTGGCAGGTGTGTTGGGTGTGTGTGTGTGTGGGGGAGTTGGCAGGTGTGTTGGGTGTGTGTGTGTGGGGGGGTGGCAGGTGTGGTGGGTGTGTGTGTGGGGGGAGGTGGCAGGTGTGTTGGGTGTGTGTGCGAGGGAGGTGGCAGGTGTGTTGGGTGTGTGTGCGAAGGAGGTGGCAGGTGTGTTGGGTGTGTGCGCGAAGGAGGTGGCAAGTGTGTTGGATTCATGGGAGGGGAAGTGGAGAGGGCCCTCCCCCTCACTCCCCTCACTGTGAGTGAACCTCCCCTCGCCTCCCCTCACTGTGAGAGAGAGCCAACTAACACCTGTCTCCCCCCCCCCCCCACAGCCACGGGGAGGCGTACACCTGGAGTAACGTCAACTGTTGTGTCCACAACATCATAGTCGGCAAGCTGTGGATCGAGCAGTACGGCTCCATGGAGATCACCAACCACGCCACAGGTAGGCCTTAACCGCGCCACAGGTACGCCTTAACCGCGCCACAGGTAGGCCTTGACCACACCACAGGTAGGCCTTGACCACACCACCACAGGTAGGCCTTGACCACACCACCACAGGTAGGCCTTGACCACACCACCACAGGTAGGCCTTGACCACACCACCACAGGTAGGCCTTGACCACACCACCACAGGTAGGCCTTGACCACACCACCACAGGTAGGCCTTGACCACACCACCACAGGTAGGCCTTGACCACACCACCACAGGTAGGCCTTGACCACACCACCACAGGTAGGCCTTGACCACACCACCACAGGTAGGCCTTGACCACACCACCACAGGTAGGCCTTGACCACACCACCACAGGTAGGCCTTGACCACACCACCACAGGTAGGCCTTGACCACACCACCACAGGTAGGCCTTGACCACACCACCACAGGTAGGCCTTGACCACACCACCACAGGTAGGCCTTGACCACACCACCACAGGTAGGCCTTGACCACACCACCACAGGTAGGCCTTGACCACACCACCACAGGTAGGCCTTGACCACACCACCACAGGTAGGCCTTGACCACACCACCACAGGTAGGCCTTGACCACACCACCACAGGTAGGCCTTGACCACACCACCACAGGTAGGCCTTGACCACACCACCACAGGTAGGCCTTGACCACACCACCACAGGTAGGCCTTGACCACACCACCACAGGTAGGCCTTGACCACACCACCACAGGTAGGCCTTGACCACACCACCACAGGTAGGCCTTGACCACACCACCACAGGTAGGCCTTGACCACACCACCACAGGTAGGCCTTGACCACACCACCACAGGTAGGCCTTGACCACACCACCACAGGTAGGCCTTGACCACACCACCACAGGTAGGCCTTGACCACACCACCACAGGTAGGCCTTGACCACACCACCACAGGTAGGCCTTGACCACACCACCACAGGTAGGCCTTGACCACACCACCACAGGTAGGCCTTGACCACACCACCACAGGTAGGCCTTGACCACACCACCACAGGTAGGCCTTGACCACACCACCACAGGTAGGCCTTGACCACACCACCACAGGTAGGCCTTGACCACACCACCACAGGTAGGCCTTGACCACACCACCACAGGTAGGCCTTGACCACACCACCACAGGTAGGCCTTGACCACACCACCACAGGTAGGCCCTGACCACACCACCACAGGTAGGCCCTGACCACACCACCACAGGTAGGCCCTGACCACACCACCACAGGTAGGCCCTGACCACACCACCACAGGTAGGCCCTGACCACACCACCACAGGTAGGCCCTGACCACACCACCACAGGTAGGCCCTGACCACACCACCACAGGTAGGCCCTGACCACACCACCACAGGTAGGCCCTGACCACACCACCACAGGTAGGCCCTGACCACACCACCACAGGTAGGCCCTGACCACACCACCACAGGTAGGCCCTGACCACACCACCACAGGTAGGCCCTGACCACACCACCACAGGTAGGCCCTGACCACACCACCACAGGTAGGCCCTGACCACACCACCACAGGTAGGCCCTGACCACACCACCACAGGTAGGCCCTGACCACACCACCACAGGTAGGCCCTGACCACACCACCACAGGTAGGCCCTGACCACACCACCACAGGTAGGCCCTGACCACACCACCACAGGTAGGCCCTGACCACACCACCACAGGTAGGCCCTGACCACACCACCACAGGTAGGCCCTGACCACACCACCACAGGTAGGCCCTGACCACACCACCACAGGTAGGCCCTGACCACACCACCACAGGTAGGCCCTGACCACACCACCACAGGTAGGCCCTGACCACACCACCACAGGTAGGCCCTGACCACACCACCACAGGTAGGCCCTGACCACACCACCACAGGTAGGCCCTGACCACACCACCACAGGTAGGCCCTGACCACACCACCACAGGTAGGCCCTGACCACACCACCACAGGTAGGCCCTGACCACACCACCACAGGTAGGCCCTGACCACACCACCACAGGTAGGCCCTGACCACACCACCACAGGTAGGCCCTGACCACACCACCACAGGTAGGCCCTGACCACACCACCACAGGTAGGCCCTGACCACACCACCACAGGTAGGCCCTGACCACACCACCACAGGTAGGCCCTGACCACACCACCACAGGTAGGCCCTGACCACACCACCACAGGTAGGCCCTGACCACACCACCACAGGTAGGCCCTGACCACACCACCACAGGTAGGCCCTGACCACACCACCACAGGTAGGCCCTGACCACACCACCACAGGTAGGCCCTGACCACACCACCACAGGTAGGCCCTGACCACACCACCACAGGTAGGCCCTGACCACACCACTGTAACAAGGATTTGGTTCCTCTCTCTTTACTTCTCTTCCTTCTACTCCCTCTACCCGTATTCTTACTTTTTATTCTCTACCAAGGGACTCCAAAACTTTTACCAAAGCCAACTCCACGCCACGTGGTCCTAAGACGATTGACCGACTTAGGATTCTACACCCAGTATGACGTGACCTAAGCTCTGAGCAAAACCCTAGAGTCGCCTCTGCTGCCACCACCAGACCCGTAACACAAGAGCAATGATCGAGGTCTGGATCGATCACGCTCATTAATCAACCTAGGGGCTTGATCCCCACTATATACGATGACCTTGAGTGTGGAATAAATTACACGGTAATGATAATTCTGATTCGATGTTAGAATCGGCGCCCAATCCAACTTTACCTCGTGTGGACCACGTCACCAGGACAAGTTTACACATAAAACACATGGAAATAATGAAATGCAAAATATTAACAAATTTAATTTATTAAAAGAAAACTAAAACAAAATCTAAATATGTTCACTCCCTATCACTTTAACACTCCCTACTTGACCTGAATGGCAAATGAGAAGACTATTTCTATACATAACCATAGCAACTATACCTTGGGCGACCAGCTCTAGATGTTGGCTGGTCTTGGGGAGAGGTAAGATGTTTGACCTCTCCCAGCTGCTCCCGTATTCACACTGATCTCTTCCTTGTCTGGTCTACCCCAGACAAGAGTATTGTATCCTTCCGCCTAGTCAAAGTTTTACCAAGTTACTAGCCAGGTTTAAGTTATAACAATTAAACTCTGTTGTACTTAATTGATCCAGACTGGTTGAATTATTTTACTGAAATAAATTACACAAGCCTCTAACGGCAGAGCTGTTCCCGATCACAAAAATGGTTATTAAAACTTTGAGAAATACTAGACATGTCAACCCTGCTGACCTATGACCGCCGGTCACTCCGCCTTAAAAGTTAGATCTGATTCGTGACGTCACTGATGGTGACTTAAACTCAATAATTAGAATACTCTTGATATTGTATCCAGTACTATTATACAATACAATTTTAATGCAAAATGAATAAAGGCTAATTTTCTCTAAATTACTGAATACTATAGGATGGTTCATTATACGCAGCTATGAACAAAGATGCCCGCCATTTGTGACTCAGACCTGCTAATTCCCAGGGGACTGGGCGTTGTTGAGAGGTCAGGTCCCTACTCGAACTTCTGGAACCTTCTGGAATAATTCTTACAACAGCCTAGTTTGTTACAACCCCCCCGCACAAGCACTTAGTAAACCTTGTTAATTTGTTAAAATTCACGAGGTTTAGTATCCAAACCCACAATTCAACTCATGCCACAAACAAAAGCTAACCTAACTAATAAAATTTGACAAATAATAGTCCAACTTCATAATAAACATGTTCATATTTCATAAATTTCTCAGCTGTCAACTGACAGCAATCCTCAAACATCAGGAAACATACATCCTATCCTTACTGACATAGCTAAATAACATGTCCCTACTCTACCATCAAAAACTAGCTATTAAACTCTCTTGGCTCTTCACTAGCCAAGTCCATGTGTCCTCTAGAGCCGGCCACACCGTGCTCAAACAAACATTAAAGTTATATCATCAGACTGAACTTTCAGTCATCCGGGAGCGTACTACGGAACTATCAAGCCCACATCCGTGTACTAACCACTCCCCATCAATGTCAACCTTGACATGTTAAGGAACACACCTAACGTTTATTACATGTATCTAAAAATATAAAAAAAATTCCTATACTATATCACAGGTTTCAGCTGACTGCACAGCCAAGTGTTCTCACTCACTAGAAGTGTCAATGTTTATATTGGTCCGCCTCTCCTGTGTTCAAACATTCTGAAAAAAATAGCACAACATAATTTTCCATAACCGTTTGTTCTGGGCTGAGACAATTACACAGGGGCTTCGATTTTGATTACTGACCAATTTATAGAGTAAAATTCATATATTATACCAGAATTATTATTTTAAATCTGTTTTTCAACATTTAAAAAATATTGTGATTCTAACTCTGTTTTTCGACATTTAAACAAAAGTGTCCAGATGTTCTTTACACAGATGTTCAGAGCCACTTTGTTGTTTGTATCAATTGTTCATATTGAGTAATCTAAAAAAAAATCGATGCTGCTGAATGTAGTCGCTGACGATGACGGTGTCGATCTTGCTTCTCCCCATGTGTAGACATCAATACCTGGTCCTCTTGTACTCCCATCCGGTACTCTTGAATGACGACAGAGTGTAGTAGAGCGGAGTGCCAAGTGACAGCTGTAGAACCATTGTAACACGGGTTAGGGTTTCCTCTCTCTACTTCTCTTCCTTCTACTCCCTCTACCCGTATTCTTACTTTTTATTCTCTACCAAGGGACTCCAAAACTTTTACCAAAGCCAACTCCACGCCACGTGGTCCTAAGACGATTGACCGACTTAGGATTCTACATCCAGTATGACGTGACCTAAGCTCTGAGCAAAACCCTAGAGTCGCCTCTGCTGCCACCACCAGACCCGTAACACAAGAGCAATGATCGAGGTCTGGATCGATCACGCTCATTAATCAACCTAGGGGCTTGATCCCCACTATATACGATGACCTTGAGTGTGGAATAAATTACACGGTAATGAGGTAGGCCCTGACCACACCACCACAGGTAGGCCCTGACCACACCACCACAGGTAGGCCCTGACCACACCACCACAGGTAGGCCCTGACCACACCACCACAGGTAGGCCCTGACCACACCACCACAGGTAGGCCCTGACCACACCACCACAGGTAGGCCCTGACCACACCACCACAGGTAGGCCCTGACCACACCACCACAGGTAGGCCCTGACCACACCACCACCCACAGGTAGGCCCTGACCACACCACCACCCACAGGTAGGCCCTGACCACACCACCACCCACAGGTAGGCCCTGACCACACCACCACCCACAGGTAGGCCCTGACCACACCACCACCCACAGGTAGGCCCTGACCACACCACCACAGGTAGGCCCTGACCACACCACCCACAGGTAGGCCCTGACCACACCACCACCCACAGGTAGGCCCTGACCACACCACCACAGGTAGGCCCTGACCACACCACCACAGGTAGGCCCTGACCACACCACCACAGGTAGGCCCTGACCACACCACCACAGGTAGGCCCTGACCACACCACCACAGGTAGGCCCTGACCACACCACCCACAGGTAGGCCCTGACCACACCACCACCCACAGGTAGGCCCTGACCACACCACCACAGGTAGGCCCTGACCACACCACCACAGGTAGGCCTTGACCACACCACCACAGGTAGGCCCTGACCACACCACCACAGGTAGGCCTTAACCACACCACCACAGGTAGGCCCTGACCACACCACCACAGGTAGGCCCTGACCACACCACCACAGGTAGGCCCTGACCACACCACCCACAGGTAGGCCCTGACCACACCACCACCCACAGGTAGGCCCTGACCACACCACCACAGGTAGGCCCTGACCACACCACCACAGGTAGGCCCTGACCACACCACCACAGGTAGGCCTTGACCACACCACCACAGGTAGGCCTTGACCACACCACCACAGGTAGGCCTTCACAAACATAGTCAAAGGGGCTTTTTGGGTCTTATATTCACGACGGTGAGACTCACTCTTGAATATGCATCTTCAGCATGGAACCCTTACCTGAAAACGGACGAGAAGCTAGAAATGGTCCAAAGATATGCAACGAGACTAGTTCCAAAGCTGAGGGGCTTGAGTTATGAGGAAAGACTGAGAGCACTGAACCTTACCACGCTGGAGGAAAGGAGAGAGGACATGATAACAACATATAAGATTGTAAGGGAAATTTATAAAGTAGACAAAGCAGCATTGGTCAAAGCTAAGAATAGCGAAACTAGGGGTCATAGATGGAGGAGGGTCTTGGGCGTGTTCCAAGGGGTCTTGGACGTGTTCCAAGGGGGGTCTTGAACGTGTTCCAAGGCGGTCTTGGACGTGTTCCAAGGGGGTCTTGGACGTGTTCCAAGGGGGTCTTGGACGTGTTCCAAGGGGGTCTTGGACGTGTTCCAAGGGGTCTTGGACGTGTTCCAAGGGGGTCTTGGACGTGTTCCAAGGGGGTCTTGGACGTGTTCCAAGGGGGTCTTGGACGTGTTCCAAGGGGGTCTTGGACGTGTTCCAAGGGGGTCTTGGACGTGTTCCAAGGGGGTCTTGGACGTGTTCCAAGGGTGTCTTGGACGTGTTCCAAGGGTGTCTTGGACGTGTTCCAAGGGGGTCTTGGACGTGTTCCAAGGGTGTCTTGGACGTGTTCCAAGGGTGTCTTGGACGTGTTCCAAGGGTGTCTTGGACGTGTTCCAAGGGTGTCTTGGACGTGTTCCAAGGGGGTCTTGGACGTGTTCCAAGGGGGTCTTGGACGTGTTCCAAGGGGGGTCTTGGACGTGTTCCAAGGGGGGTCTTGGACGTGTTCCAAGGGTGTCTTGGACGTGTTCCAAGGGTGTCTTGGACGTGTTCCAAGGGGGTCTTGGACGTGTTCCAAGGGGGTCTTGGACGTGTTCCAAGGGGGGTCTTGGACGTGTTCCAAGGGTGTCTTGGACGTGTTCCAAGGGGGTCTTGGACGTGTTCCAAGGGGGTCTTGGACGTGTTCCAAGGGTGTCTTGGACGTGTTCCAAGGGGGTCTTGGACGTGTTCCAAGGGGGTCTTGGACGTGTTCCAAGGGGGGTCTTGGACGTGTTCCAAGGGTGTCTTGGACGTGTTCCAAGGGGGTCTTGGACGTGTTCCAAGGGGGTCTTGGACGTGTTCCAAGGGGGTCTTGGACGTGTTCCAAGGGTGTCTTGGACGTGTTCCAAGGGGGTCTTGGACGTGTTCCAAGGGGGTCTTGGACGTGTTCCAAGGGGGTCTTGGACGTGTTCCAAGGGTGTCTTGGACGTGTTCCAAGGGTGTCTTGGACGTGTTCCAAGGGGGTCTTGGACGTGTTCCAAGGGGGTCTTGGACGTGTTCCAAGGGGGTCTTGGACGTGTTCCAAGGGGGTCTTGGACGTGTTCCAAGGGTGTCTTGGACGTGTTCCAAGGGTGTCTTGGACGTGTTCCAAGGGGGTCTTGGACGTGTTCCAAGGGGGTCTTGGACGTGTTCCAAGGGGGGTCTTGGACGTGTTCCAAGGGTGTCTTGGACGTGTTCCAAGGGGGTCTTGGACGTGTTCCAAGGGGGTCTTGGACGTGTTCCAAGGGTGTCTTGGACGTGTTCCAAGGGGGTCTTGGACGTGTTCCAAGGGGGTCTTGGACGTGTTCCAAGGGGGTCTTGGACGTGTTCCAAGGGTGTCTTGGACGTGTTCCAAGGGGGTCTTGGACGTGTTCCAAGGGGGTCTTGGACGTGTTCCAAGGGGGTCTTGGACGTGTGACCTTTCTAATTGTTATACATGTTTGCTACTTTATTGACACAAGTTGACACTCAATTATGTATTAGTAATTTTGTTTTATCTTTCTCTCCTCACCCACCTTCTTCCCCTCCCCTCACCCACCTCCTCCTCCCCTTCACCCACCTCCTCCTCCCCTCCCCTCCCCCACCTCCTCCCCCTCCCCTCCCCCACCTCCTCCCCCTCCCCTCCCCCACCTCCTCCCCCTCCCCTCCCCCACCTCCTCCCCCTCCCCTCCCCCACCTCCTCCCCCTCCCCTCACCCCCTCCTCCCCCTCCCCTCTCAACAGGTCACAAGAGCATCCTCACCTTCAAGACGGCTGGCTGGTTTTCCAAGGACTTGCACCGCATTGAGGGATTCATCGTGGATAAGAAGTAGGTATAAGCGTCTGTTGTGTAACGCTGTCCTGTACTGTCCTGTACTGGTCTGTGCTGTCCTGTACTGGCCTGTGCTGTCTTGTACTGGTCTGTACTGTCCTGTACTGGTCTGTGCTGTCCTGTACTGGCCTGTGCTGTCTTGTACTGGCCTGTGCTGTCCTGTACTGGTCTGTGCTGCCCTGTACTGGTCTGTGCTGCCCTGTACTGGTCTGTGCTGTCTTGTACTGGTCTGTGCTGTCCTGTACTGGTCTGTGCTGTCTTGTACTGGTCTGTGCTGTCCTGTACTGGCCTGTGCTGTCCTGTACTGGTCTGTGCTGCCCTGTATTGGTCTGCACTGTCCAGGTATATCTCCTCACTCCAATCTGTTCCCGCTCTCTCATTTACCTCCCTCATCCTCATTTGGCCGCCTTCGGCTTCCATTCCCTCTACTCCCGCCTCTTTGACACTTCATAGTTTGGTGAAACATGTCTACTTTCCACGCGCAGGAAGAAGAAGCAGGCCTTCCTGTACGGCAAATGGACGGAGTTCCTGCGCGCCACAGATATCTCCAATTACGACGAATATATGAAGACCAACGCTCACAAATTTAGGTGAGTGCCAGTGTGTGTGTGTGTGTGTGTGTGTGTGTGTGTGTGTGTGTGTGTGTGTGTGTGTGTGTGTGTGTTTGTGTGTGTGTGTGTGTGTGTATGTGCGTGCGTGTGCGTGCGTGTGCGTGCGCGCGTGTGTGTGTGTGTGCGCGTGCGTGTGTGTGTTGCTCTTTAGTGAGACAAATGTTGTATCATGGCCAGTACCGCCTGAACCTGGCGGCACCAGTACCATACCGCCAGTACTATTTTAGCTTTTAGACCAAGTTGTAGTGTTGACCAGCGTCGCAGATGCTGCTGATGTTACCCTGCCTGTATGTGTGCCTCTGGTTTAGAGTTCAAATTATGACCACTCCCAATCTACCTCTTATCTCCAATTGCTGTAGTTGTCTTTCTGGTCTTCTTTCTCCCTTCCCCAACTTTATTATCTTACATTTATTTGGATTAAACTCAAGCAACCATTTGTTTGCCCATTCCTGGAATTGATCAAGGTCTCCCTGTATCTTTCTCTAGTCCTCTGTTTTTACATTTCTCATTAACTTTCGATCATCTGCACTTAGGACCAGTAGTGGTTCTAGGGCTGAACCCCTGGGGGGCGGGGGGGGGGGGATGGGGGGACTCCACTTGTTGTACTCCTCCAGCTCTGGACCTCGTCTCTGTAACTGTCTTCTGTCATGCAGGTACTCCCTTACCCAGTTCCGTCCCTTAAGTCATCCCAGCTTGCTTTTTTTTCCATTTTATACTCCACTCTTTTGTAAGGAACAGTATCAAATACCTTTTAACAGTCTAGCAAAATGCAATCTACTCAGCCATCTTTTATGGTCGTATTCTAGTATTCTTGTCATGAACCTCGATGAGGTTTGTCAGCCACGACTTTCTTTTTCACAATTCCTGCTGCTCTTTGTGTCAAAGGTTTATCCTCTTTAGATGGTCCATTATTCTCAACTTGATTACTCTCTCCAGCACTTGACTTGGAGTATATACTTGTCAGTGGCATTGGTCTGTAAATTTTATACCTCCTGTCTGTCCACTTTCTTAAATATTAGGATTGTTTACCTTTTCAGAGAGTTTTCCCATCTCGGGTGTTTCAGTGAAAATATAAGTTAGCAGTGACACAGCACCTCTGCAACTTCCTTCACAAGCCACGGTGATATTAAATCTCGCTCATTTGACTTTATTGCATCAAGTTCCTCTAGTTTTTTTAAAACCTCTTCCACTGTAACTACTGTGTAATCCAGTGTTTCCTCTGACCTTTCATCACTCAGCTCTGGTCTCCACATTGGTTCCTTTCGCAGAGACCTCTTGAAATATTGTCAAGTTCCTCACACACCTCCTTGTCGTTCTCCTCCAGTCTTCCTCCTTGTCTCTCTAACCTGATCACATTGTCTCTTACTCTTGTTTTTTCTTCTTATATGGCTATACAACAGCTTTAGTTGGTCTTTAGCTTTTGCCACAGTGTCTTTTCATACTCTGAGCTTCCCGCCTTACTCTAGTGGCATGTCTGACTCTCGTTAGTGCATCTCTGTCTTCTTACGTTCCTAATGTTTTGTACTCTACATGAAGCAAAGGTCCTCGACCTTTGCCTCTCTGCACCGCCTATTAAACCAGGGATTTATGTTATATTTCTTGTCCTCCTCCACTTGAGTGGGAGGTACTGTTGCACCTGCACTTTCCTCAGCAATAATTTCCATCTCATTTGTTGTCTTCCCTTAGAACTTTCTTCCCCCTTTGGACTTGTCATAATCTCCATCACCCTATGGATTGCTGTGAAAATTTCAGCACCTGGGCTCCAGTGTAGATGTAGCAGCAGAGTTACCCCACCTCCGCCCTTGTTCACCCTCTCTTGCCTTACTACTTTATGTCCTCGTGGCAAGATTGCATTTCCTACAGCATACCAGGAGCATACCTGGAGTGGGTCTCGCGAGTCCTACTCTCCGAGCCCGGCCTGAGGCCAGGCAACAGACGCCATTTTCGGTTTTCTAACAATGTGTGGCTGGTCTTCTGTTACTCTTTACTGCTCCTTTATTTGCCATAGACAGTGACACCACAGTGTGAACACCAGAGGTCCCGGCTGTTACAACATCCTCCCAGCCAGTATAAGACATATTCCCAGAACAACAGTGGAAGTCTTCGAGAAAAATCTGGACAATTTTTTGCAAGTGCTGGATCAACCGGGCTGTGGTGGATAAGTGGGCCTGCGGGTCGCTCCAGCCTGTTGGACCAAATGCTCACAAGTCAAGCCTGGCCTCGGGCCGGGCTTGGGGAGCAGAACAACTCTCAGAACATCATTCAGGTAAAATGCAGGTACAGTATGAACTGAAGGAACACGTCCAACTCGCTCCCACAGTTCACAACGTCGACATGAACACAAATTTCGAACAAATCGGCATAATACGTGCAGATATATTACCAAATAGGGCTGGGACCCAGAGCTACAGCTCGGCACCAACCAACACACAGGTAACACTGAGCACCTCCATAAACCCCCCCCCCTCCCCCCCCTCCCCCCCTCCCCCCGCAAACACTCGCACAAAGAATGTCAAATCACATTTTTCCTTTTAGTTCACGGTAAAAGAATGTTATTTTCTGCTCACCATCAAAATTCTCCACGACCGCCGGCACCCTTGTCTGTCACCAGGGGGGAGGCACCCTTGGCTGTCACTAGGGGGGAGGCACCCTTGTCTGTCACCAGGGGGGAGGCACCCTTGACTGTCACCAGGGGGGAGGCACCCTTGTCTGTCACCAGGGGGGAGGCACCCTTGGCTGTCACCAGGGGGGAGTCACCCTCGACTGTCACCAGGGGGGAGACACCCTTGTCTGTCACCAGGGGGGAGTCACCCTCGACTGCCACCAGGGGGGAGGCACCCTTGACTGTCACCAGGGGGGAGTCACCCTCGACTGTCACCAGGGGGGAGGCACCCTTGTCTGTCACCAGGGGGGAGTCACCCTCGACTGTCACCAGGGGGGAGGCACCCTTGACTGTCACCAGGGGGAAGTCACCCTCGACTGTCACCAGGGGGAAGTCACCCTCGACTGTCACCAGGGGGGAGGCACCCTTGACTGTCACCAGGGGGGAGTCACCCTCGACTGTCACCAGGGGGGAGGCACCCTTGTCTGTCACCAGGGGGGAGGCACCCTTGGCTGTCACCAGGGGTGAGGCACCCTTGACTGTCACCAGGGGGGAGGCACCCTTGTCTGTCACCAGGGGGAGGCACCCTTGGCTGTCACCAGGGGTGAGGCACCCTTGACTGTCACCAGGGGGGAGGCACCCTTGTCTGTCACCAGGGGGGAGGCACCCTTGGCTGTCACCAGGGGGGAGGCACCCTTGGCTGTCACCAGGGGGGAGGCACCCTTGGCTGTCACCTGGGGGGAGGCACCCTTGACTGTCACCAGGGGGGAGGCACCCTTGACTGTCACCAGGGGGGAGGCACCCTTGACTGTCACCAGGGGGGAGGCACCCTTGTCTGTCACCAGGGGGGAGGCACCCTTGGCTGTCACCAGGGGTGAGGCACCCTTGTCTGTCATCAGGGGGGAGGCACCCTTGACTGTCACCAGGGGCGGAGGCACCCTTGGCTGTCACCAGGGGGAGGCACCCTTGGCTGTCACCAGGGGGGAGGCACCCTTGTCTGTCACCAGGGGGGAGGCACCCTTGTCTGTCACCAGGGGGGAGGCACCCTTGGCTGTCACCAGGGGGGAGGCACCCTTGGCTGTCACCAGGGGGGAGGCACCCTTGGCTGTCACCAGGGGGGAGGCACCCTTGGCTGTCACCAGGGGGGAGGCACCCTTGGCTGTCACCAGGGGGGAGGCACCCTTGGCTGTCACCAGGGGGGAGGCACCCTTGGCTGTCACCAGGGGGGAGGCACCCTTGGCTGTCACCAGGGGGGAGGCACCCTTGGCTGTCACCAGGGGGGAGGCACCCTTGGCTGTCACCAGGGGGGAGGCACCCTTGGCTGTCACCAGGGGGGAGGCACCCTTGGCTGTCACCAGGGGGGAGGCACCCTTGGCTGTCACCAGGGGGGAGGCACCCTTGGTTGTCACCAGGGGGGAACAAAATCCAGTGAGGGCTTGTGGGAGAAGCAGGGAGGGAGGTAGGGGGATATACCATGGGGGAGGCCGAGGGGGGAGGGCTGGAGAGAGAAGAGGAGGGTAGGGAGAGATGAGGGGATAGGAAAAATGAGGGGGAAGGGAAAGGTAAGGGAGGAAGGTAAAGATGAGTGGTGGTAGGGAGAGTTGATGGGGGTGGGGGGGGGGGAAGAGATGGATGTAGGAAATGAGTGTGTGAGAGAGTGGCAAAGAGAGAATGTGTGTGAGTGAAAGAGAGTGAAAGTGTTTAAGAGAGTGAGTGAGTGAGAGATCGATCCTTACGAGTTTTCAATACCCTAACCAGTTATATGAAGGTATTAATTCAGACCAATGATTAACGTCAATGTGGTTTTTAGAATAAAATTCCTCTTACCCTTCTAATTTGGAATTTGCCAGTTTCACGCGGAATTAGAGGTTCACATTCATCACACTCTTCTGCAAATAATTCTCTTGTACTCAAGCTCTGTTTTGTGAGCTAGAGAAAGTGTATAACACTGCCTGGATATATAATATACTAGCACAGTTGTATTGTTCTGGCCTTTGATGCATTCTGCCTCTCTTGCTTCAAAGCTTTCTTCTGGCCTCTCACCACCAACATGGAGGCGTTCCCTGAGGCAGTGTTCTTAGCGCACTCTGGTTCCTTTAACAGTCTCCGCTCCTTCCCCGCTGGAGTATATGCGACACTTAATGTAGACTACGGGGACCTTCCTGCATGTTTGTTGACTTTGTCATAGATCCTTTGTCGTCGTCGTCGTCATGATTTGTATCGTACAGCCACGTCTCGGGGACGCTGCCGTGTTTTGTCAGTCTAAATCTTGTCCGTAGACACCGATGTTCCGTTGGTATATGATCGTCTTGAACCGTATTGGTTTCATACTTTTTGTGGAGCCTATAAAGCCCCCTATTAACGCTTGTATTGTAGCATGGCTGCTGCCCCTGTTTAATGCCATGCTTAATCTCCTTTGCAATGTTTTACAGCAGTGATTGCAAGCTTGCAGGCTTTTCTCTCTGTGCACGGCCGTACTGTCCTGCATTACTTCGTGGAGAGCCAAAGTTGTTACATCTTGTGAACCAGTAACGTGACGACTTCCGGTCTTCCTCTTGTCATAAAATGTCATTTCCAAGACAGTTTGACCAACATTACCGCCCTACTGCTGCTGAGCGACGAGTCTGCTGCCAGTCTTGGCCTCTCTCTTATTTAGAGCTTGTCAATCCCTCTTTTTGTTAGGGGGGGGGGAGAAGGAGGGTTCCTACCTTCCCCTAGAGGAAGTGACCAACCTATTTTGTAGAGGTGAGGTAGATGCAGTTGTCCATGCTGTGAGACAGTGACTTTTGTGCCCTAATGTTGGGTTGATGTTGTGACTCGTGCCGTGCACTCCTCCTCCTCAAGTCTTATTACTCTTCTCATTCACTGATCATTGGAATCTAACTCTAGCTTTTCCTCACCTTAGAAGATAAAGGACAATGATATTTTGCTTGGGTCTGAGCCATATTGGTGTTGCCACTAGTGACCCCGCACATGATGCTGCTAAAGATCTTCATCTAAAGATGAAGAGATGATATATTGTTGGTTCTGAGTAACAAGTTGCAACCTCTTGCATGTGACGTATCCCTGTGGCCTTCCTCCTGTCACTATACCAGGAAGGGACAAATGCCTCTGACCAGGTACATGTTGACCCCATGCGACAGCAGTTAACTTATGGACACTGTAGAACAAAGAGCAGCATCCTTATTATCCAAACAGCATTCTCTCAGTCGTAAACATTCTTGTAGCATTTTGTCCTGATTATCAGGGGGTCGTCTGTCTTGCTTCCTCAGTCTCTCTCTGAGCTGTTTGTCCCACTATACTTGCTGAATCTCATGCTTTTGACACTGCTTGCCTTATGCTTTTTTTGTTCTATTGGCATATTGATTGATATCTTGGACTTTCTGAATGATATTTGCCACGGATGGTACTAAATAGTCCTCCAAGTTTGGTTCCTTCTGTTGGTACCCATTGCTCTCCTGGTTGGTACCTGTGTCACCTGGCCTTGGAGAAATAATATTGCTATCATTGAACTGTGTGCTACTTAGTTATTGCAAGAACATTGTTGTTGTTGTTGTAGACTTAACAATCTTCTATGTTTTCTAATCTTGTACACCCAGCTTGTTCTCTACATCACCCTCACACACGACCTGTCGTCCTGTGTGCTGCCTCTACCTCGCCTCCCATCCTGCCCTGCCCTCCCATCCTGCCCTGCCCTCCCATCCTACCTCCAGCCAAATGTCTGGTCTCCAGTCCGCCCTTCCGCCTCATCTCATATGCTTGCTTCCACAGACGCCACGACAAGAAGAGCGAGGACGGGTCGCCGGGCGGGTCGAGTCCGGCCCACGCCCCGAGCAAGGTCCTCAAGAAGCTCAACACCATCACCTCCTCCTTCAGGATGAGCAGCGACGTGGAGGTGAGTGCACCTTGTGGTTAGTCGAGGGGCTGCTGGGCAAGGAGGCGTGTGAGAGGGCAAGGGTTACTTACACAGGTGGGTACAGGAGTAGACGACTTCCGACTCCTCTTAGCAGGCTGCCTTCTGCTCATTTTAACCTTATTTGTTTGTTCTAGAACACTACTCACCAAGCGGTTTTACAACCAGGCCCAGTAGTTCAGCATCTGGTAAATGCTTCACGAGTGAAGAGATCTTAAATACCTGTGTACACGAGAGCACTGTGTCCACCTGATATGTATGTGAATCTAATTCAAATACTTAATGTAAACCACGGAAGGATATTCACCCACCGTTGTCTTGGCCTGCGGGATGCTGGCGACCTTTATCCTCTGGTGAAGGTTGCTGGATACTGGTCACCGATCCTGGTTATTGACCAGGTTGGTAAAGGCAGAGACACTAAACTTTGGTGTTCAGGAGAGGCACTGTGGTATCCCATTGTCTGGAACAGGAAGTATATTGGGGCAGTCACTGACCTTTCCAAGGATGCCAGTCACAACAGTTCCCTCGCTCCCAGGTACCTGTTTACTCCCAGGTTAACAGAGGCATAAGGTGCAAGGAACTTACCCAAACAGTCGTCCTGTCCGGGAATCGAACCCGGGACCATTTGGTTCAGCTCACTTTATGCTACAGTTCCCTTAATGGAGACTTGTTCGTGGGTAGTATATCTGTGAATAGTGTCTGAGTAGTATATCTGTATCTGTGTGAGTATATATATATACACACACACACATATATAAATGGATAGCTGTGTATATCTATATACATATATCTAGGTATATTTATAGTAGTATATCATCCTTACACCTTGCATGTTCCGTACAAGACAGAGCTATAGACCAAACTGCCTGGGAAGCGGTTGTTAAGTAACTGTACACAGAGCACCAATCCTTGACCACAATTCAGTCCCAAGTTGCAGTCCTGTGAAAGCGTCTATTCTGGTCTTAACAATTTCCTTGTTTCTCGGGAAAAATCTATCAATAGAAAAGACAATTCTAAAAGTTAAATAATTTATTTTATTATTAAATTGTATGTGTGTATTACCAGCAGCGATTGACATATGTGTTGTGTGAGAGCAGGCGGGCGTTGAGGCGGAGGACGTCCATCCCCCAGAGGACCCGGAGGAGGGCGGCTACCCCAGGACAGACTCCACCTACAGTATTGACATTCCCAACTCCAGCACCCTGTGGGAGGCGGACCCCAGACCAGACAACTCCCGCCAGGTGAGTCCTCTGACCCGTGTACCTATACTTGTCCTGCCCGCCACCACCACCACCAGGGGTTGAGGGAGCTAACCTGAGGGTTGTCCTGGCCACCACCACCACCACCAGGGGGGTTGAGGGAGCTAACCTGAGGGTTGTCCTGGCCGCCACCACCACCACCACCAGGGGGGTTGAGGGAGCTAACCTGAGGGTTGTCCTGGCCGCCACCACCACCACCAGGGGGGTTGAGGGAGCTAACCTGAGGGTTGTCCTGGCCGCCGCCACCACCACCACCAGGGGGGTTGAGGGAGCTAACCTGAGGGTTGTCCTGGCCGCCACCACCACCACCAGGGGTTGACGGAGCTAACCTGAGGGTTGTCCTGGCCGCCGCCACCACCACCAGGGGGGTTGAGGGAGCCAGGGGGCCGCCACCACCACCACCTGACCTGAGGGGTTGAGGGAGCTAACCTGAGGGTTGTCCTGGCCGCCACCACCACCACCAGTTGAGGGAGCTAACCTGAGGGTTGTCCTGGCCGCCACCACCACCACCAGGGGGGTTGAGGGAGCTAACCTGAGGGTTGTCCTGGCTGCCACCACCACCACCACCAGGGGTTGAGGGAGCTGACCTGAGGGTTGTCCTGGCCGCCACCACCACCACCACCTTGAGGGAGCTACCACCTGGGGCCACCACCACCACCACCAGGGGTTGAGGGAGCTGACCTGAGGGTTGTCCTGGCCGCCACCACCACCACTACTAACAGGGGGGTTGAGGGAGCTAACCTGAGGGTTGTCCTGGCCGCCGCCGCCTGGCCGCCACCACCACCACCACCAGGGGTTGAGGGAGCTGACCTGAGGGTTGTCTGGCCGCCACCACCACCACCACCAGGGGTTGAGGGAGCTGACCTGAGGGTTGTCCTGGCCGCCACCACCACCACCAGGGGGGTTGAGGGAGCTAACCTGAGGGTTGTCCTGGCCGCCACCACCACCACCAGGGGTTGAGGGAGCTAACCTGAGGGTTGTCCTGGCCGCCACCACCACCACCACCACCAGGGGTTGAGGGAGCTAACCTGAGGGTTGTCCTGGCCGCCACCACCACCACCAGGGGTTAAGGGAGCTGACCTGAGGGTTGTCCTGCCCGCCACCACCACCACCAGGGGTTGAGGGAGCTAACCTGAGGGTTGTCCTGGCCACCACCACCACCACCAGGGGTTGAGGGAGCTAACCTGAGGGTTGTCCTGGCCGCCGCCACCACCACCGCCAGGGGTTGAGGGAGCTGACCTGAGGGTTGTCCTGGCCACCACCACCACCACCACCAGGGGGGTTGAGGGAGCTAACCTGAGGTTTGTCCTGGCCACCACCACCACCACCAGGGGTTAAGGGAGCTGACCTGAGGGTTGTCCTGGCCGCCACCACCACCACTACCAGGGGGGTTGAGGGAGCTAACCTGAGGGTTGTCCTGGCCGCCGCCACCACCACCACCAGGGGTTGAGGGAGCTAACCTGAGGGTTGTCCTGGCCACCACCACCACCACCAGGGGTTGAGGGAGCTAACCTGAGGGTTGTCCTGGCCACCACCACCACCACCACCAGGGGTTGAGGGAGCTAACCTGAGGGTTGTCCTGGCCGCCACCACCACCACCAGGGGTTGAGGGAGCTGACCTGAGGGTTGTCCTGGCCGCCACCACCACCACCAGGGGTTGAGGGAGCTAACCTGAGGGTTGTCCTGGCCACCACCACCACCACCACCAGGGGTTGAGGGAGCTAACCTGAGGGTTGTCCTGGCCGCCGCCACCACCACCACCAGGGGTTGAGGGAGCTAACCTGAGGGTTGTCCTGGCCGCCGCCACCACCACCACCAGGGGTTGAGGGAGCTAACCTGAGGGTTGTCCTGGCCGCCACCACCACCACCAGGGGTTGAGGGAGCTGACCTGAGGGTTGTCCTGGCCGCCACCACCACCACCAGGGGGGTTGAGGGAGCTGACCTGAGGGTTGTCCTGGCCGCCACCACCACCACCACCACCACCACCAGGGGTTGAGGGAGCTGACCTGAGGGTTGTCCTGGCCGCCACCACCACCACCAGGGGTTGAGGGAGCTAACCTGAGGGTTGTCCTGGCCGCCACCACCACCACCACCACCACCACCACCACCAGGGGTTGAGGGAGCTGACCTGAGGGTTGTCCTGGCCGCCACCACCACCACCAGGGGTTGAGGGAGCTAACCTGAGGGTTGTCCTGGCCACCACCACCACCACCAGGGGTTGAGGGAGCTAACCTGAGGGTTGTCCTGGCCGCCACCAACACCACCAGGGGTTGAGGGAGCTAACCTGAGGGTTGTCCTGGCCGCCACCACCACCACCAGGGGTTGAGGGAGCTGACCTGAGGGTTGTCCTGGCCGCCACCACCACCACCAGGGGGGTTGAGGGAGCTGACCTGAGGGTTGTCCTGGCCACCACCACCAGGGGGGTTGAGGGAGCTGACCTGAGGGTTGTCCTGGCCGCCACCACCACCACCAGGGGTTGAGGGAGCTGACCTGAGGGTTGTCCTGGCCGCCACCACCACCACCACCACCACCAGGGGTTGAGGGAGCTAACCTGAGGGTTGTCCTGGCCACCACCACCACCACCAGGGGTTGAGGGAGCTGACCTGAGGGTTGTCCTGGCCGCCACCACCACCACCACCAGGGTTTGAGGGAGCTGACCTGAGGGTTGTCCTGGCCACCACCACCACCAGGGGTTGAGGGAACTAACCTGAGGGTTGTCCTGGCCGCCACCACCACCACCAGGGGTTGAGGGAGCTGACCTGAGGGTTGTCCTGGCCACCACCACCACTACCACCAGGGGTTGAGGGAGCTGACCTGAGGGTTGTCTTGGCCGCCACCACCACCAGGGTTTGAGGGAGCTGACCTGAGGGTTGTCCTGGCCGCCACCACCACCACCAGGGGTTGAGGGAGCTAACCTGAGGGTTGTCCTGGCCGCCACCACCACCACCAGGGGGGTTGAGGGAGCTGACCTGAGGGTTGTCCTGGCCGCCACCACCACCACCAGGGGGGTTGAGGGAGCTGACCTGAGGGTTGTCCTGGCCACCACCACCACCACCACCAGGGGGGTTGAGGGAGCTAACCTGAGGGTTGTCCTGGCCGCCACCACCACCACCAGGGGGGTTGAGGGAGCTAACCTGAGGGTTGTCCTGGCCGCCACCACCACCACCAGGGGTTCAGGGAGCTAACCTGAGGGTTGTCCTGGCCGCCACCACCACCACCAGGGGGGTTGAGGGAGCTGACCTGAGGGTTGTCCTGGCCGCCACCACCACCAGGGGGGTTGAGGGAGCTGACCTGAGGGTTGTCTTGGCCGCCACCACCACCACCAGGGGTTGAGGGAGCTAACCTGAGGGTTGTCCTGGCCACCACCACCACCACCAGGGGGGTTGAGGGAGCTGACCTGAGGGTTGTCCTGGCCACCACCACCACCACCAGGGGGGTTGACTGAGTGGCTGCCGCCACCACCACCACCACCACCACCACCAGGGGTTGAGGGAGCTAACCTGAGGGTTGTCCTGGCCGCCACCACCACCACCAGGGTTTGAGGGAGCTGACCTGAGGGTTGTCCTGGCCGCCACCACCACCACCAGGGGGGTTGAGGGAGCTAACCTGAGGGTTGTCCTGGCCGCCACCACCACCACCCAGGGGTTGAGGGAGCTAACCTGAGGGTTGTCCTGGCCGCCACCACCACCACCAGGGGGGTTGAGGGAGCTAACCTGAGGGTTGTCCTGGCCGCCACCACCACCACCACCAGGGGTTGAGGGAGCTAACCTGAGGGTTGTCCTGGCCGCCACCACCACCACCAGGGGTTGAGGGAGCTAACCTGAGGGTTGTCCTGGCCGCCACCACCACCAGGGTTTGAGGGAGCTGACCTGAGGGTTGTCCTGGCCGCCACCACCACCACCACCAGGGTTTGAGGGAGCTGACCTGAGGGTTGTCCTGGCCGCCACCACCACCATTACCAGGGGGGTTGAGGGAGCTAACCTGAGGGTTGTCCTGGCCGCCGCCACCACCACCACCAGGGTTTGAGGGAGCTGACCTGAGGGTTGTCCTGGCCGCCACCACCACCACCAGGGGGGTTGAGGGAGCTGACCTGAGGGTTGTCCTGGCCGCCACCACCACCACCACCAGGGGGGTTGAGGGAGCTAACCTGAGGGTTGTCCTGGCCGCCGCCACCACCACCACCAGGGTTTGAGGGAGCTGACCTGAGGGTTGTCCTGGCCGCCACCACCACCACTACCAGGGGGGTTGAGGGAGCTAACCTGAGGGTTGTCCTGGCCGCCGCCACCACCACCACCAGGGTTTGAGGGAGCTAACCTGAGGGTTGTCCTGGCCGCCACCACCACCACCAGGGGTTGAGGGAGCTGACCTGAGGGTTGTCCTGGCCGCCACCACCACCACCACCAGGGGGGTTGAGGGAGCTAACCTGAGGGTTGTCCTGGCCGCCACCACCACCACCACCACCACCACCACCACCACCACCAGGGGTTGAGGGAGCTGACCTGAAGGTTGTCCTGGCCGCCACCACCACCACCAGGGGTTGAGGGAGCTAACCTGAGGGTTGTCCTGGCCGCCGCCACCACCACCACCACCACCACCACGGGTTGAGGGAGCTGACCTGAGGGTTGTCCTGGCCGCCACCACCACCACCAGGGGGGTTGAGGGAGCTGACCTGAGGGTTGTCCTGGCCGCCACCACCACCACCAGGGGTTGAGGGAGCTGACCTGAGGGTTGTCCTGGCCGCCGCCACAACTACCACCAGGGGGGTTGAGGGAGCTGACCTGAGGGTTGTCCTGGCCGCCACCACCACCACCACCAGGGGGGTTGAGGGAGCTGACCTGAGGGTTGTCCTGGCCACCACCACCACCTGGGGTTGAGGGAGCTGACCTGAGGGTTGTCCTGGCCACCACCACCACCACCAGGGGGGTTGAGGGAGCTAACCTGAAGGTTGTCCTGGCCGCCACCACCACCACCACCAGGGTTTG